AAAAACATCTATATGTGAACAAAAGCTGTGTTGATTAATAATTATTACCTTGTTAGCCAAGAAGAAAAAAATAATTGGAAATGCGAGTTATCTGGAAGGAAAGGTCAAAATGGTTATTTTACCTTGAATTGTATACAGTCAGCCCTCTCTATTTTTAAACATTGCTAGAAGTGAACTGTGTTATTTCAAAATAAATTTTATTTTTCATAGTTATACAAATGTATTTAGTTAGTCCATTCTCAGCCAAGGATCTGGCATTCTACAAAATCATAAACATAACCCCTAAAATCACATAAATGAAAAGAACTGTAGCTATGAGCCAAATAATTTTAAATGTAAAAATTAAAGCTTCTGGTTTCAAGAGCTATAAAAATACTATAAACACTGATTACCCCAGGGTTTCTAATATTCCATAAAATATTTATAACACTCACAGAAATACAGTTATATCTGACCACATATTTTACTGAAAGTGAATGTGTTAGTTGCTATAATTATTAAACACTTAAATGTTTTTCGTGGTGTTCTTCGAATTCAGAAGGGCCCATTTATAGAAGTAAAGAAGGGTAATTAGATGGCCTAAATTCCATAAGTTTTCCAAATAAGGCTAAGTTAGTGCATCCTCCTCTCCTTTCGAAATTAAATTCTTCTAAAGAACTAATAGGCTCTCAAATTCTACCCTCAGCCTTAGAGTGTCTCCTAAACCTGTGGTCAGGGGCTGCCTGCATATTTATTATTGTCATCGCTTCTTTCTCTAAAACTGAAGTTTCAATGAAAGGGTTTTCTCAAGATTTCTGTACTTTACCCTGTCTTATCTTCTTCATTAAAAAAAAAACAACAACAAATTCTTTTGGCTTCAGAGAAAGTAAAACACAACAATGACAACAAAAGTGTGCTGTTACATCATTGGATTTCGCACCTTATTAATGGCTGTCAGAGCACTTTACACTGGTAGGAAAGCATTGAAAAACCGTTGCGAGTTCTCTATTATAGCCTCTTAGAGAAAAAATTTCAAGGATCTCCAGTGAATTGTAAAGACAGGTATAAGCTGTGGAGCCTAAGAACCTCAAGGTGCCTGGAAGGGACCACTTTTTCTACTTTCTCCTGATTTTTTTTTTTTTTTTGAGACTGAGTCTCCCTCTTGTTGCCCAGGCTGGGGTGCAGTGGTGCGGTCTCAGCTCACTGCAACCTCGGCCTCCCGGGTTCAAGCAATTCTCCTGCCCCAGCCTTCTGAGTAGCTGGGATTACAGGCACCGGTCACTATGCCTGCCTAATTTTTGTATTTTTAGTACAGAGAGGGTTTCACCATGTTGGTCAGTCTGGTCTCGAACTCCTGACCTCAGGTGACCTGCCCACCTTAACCTCCCAAAGTGCTGGGATTACAGGCATGAGCCACTGTGCCTGGCCTCCTCCTGATTTTTATAAGTGTATTTTAGGCCTCCTGAAGGCAGCACCCTCAAATGACAGCAAAACCTCCAAGAGAAGTATAAACTCTTCTTACACAATGCTTATTGTGATGACTCCTGGTTTTACCTGGATGGAAAGTAAATATTCCGTGTCCTGGGATAGAATGAGGAAATTATAAAGGTGGCCAAATTTATACTCAGCTAGCCTAACATTCTCTTTATATGAGTTCTAGTTTCTTCACAGTTTACCTACAGGGCTCCCTACTAATCTTGCACTCATGGCCTTTATTCACCCTAAAGAGTAAATAACACTTTGAAATATTTATAAATAAATTAAATGATTAATGTACTTTAGCCTTCAATGTGCTTTGACAGTGAAAATTTAATATTCTAACTTAATTGTGGGGTACAGGAAGCAAATAGAAAATAAAATCTTTTGCTTCATCTGTAGGAAGGTCAGTCCTGCATATATCTGTCAAATGCCTAAGCCCTATATGAAAAATGTTGCCATTCAACATTTTATAAAATTTATCTCAAGAAAGTGGCTGGGTAGCTCATTGCTTTAATCCCGGCACTCTGGGAGGCCGAGGTGGGTGGAGTACCTGAAGTCAGGAGTTTGAGACCAGCCTAGCCAACATGGTGAAAACCTGTCTCTACTAAAAATACAAAAAATTATCTGGGTATGGTGGCGGTTGCCTGTAATCTCAGCTACTCAGGAAGCTGAGGCAAGAGAATTGCTTGAACGTGGGAGGCGGAGGTTGCAGTGAGCAGAGATGGCACCATTGTACTCCAGCCTGGGCAACAAGCGGGAAAGTCCATCTCAGAGAAAAAAAAAGAAAATAAATCACCATAATGCCTTTTTCAGGCCAAAGTTAAGAACTTCTACCAGAGCATAAAAATACATCTACTAAATTTGTGTCCTTATGATACTAGATAGCAGCATCTTGACCCCCCCACTCCAAAAAAAGTTAAATGTAGCTTAGCTGCATTTAATAGATATAATCATAGAATATTTAGGGTGATACAAAAGTAATTGTGGTTTTTGCAGTTATAATTGCCAATATACAACTGACTGTATCTTCTGATTCTAAGACCACTGACAATTAAATCACAAGTAACTTTGCACCAACCTAAGAAATATACAAAAAAATAGAACTCAGTTGTATCTGCATATATTAAATAAGCATCTCTAATATCAGGTTCCCAAAAGCCTATCAGTAGCTTTATTTCTATTTTATTTTATTTTATCAATATTACTTATATTTTAACATAGACTATTGATATTATTCTTGCACCTTATCCTCAACATATTGAAAACCAAATTCATAATAATATTCAAACTGCAATGCCCCCCACTCAAGATCATCTGGTTTCCATTAGTGGCACCAATATACCCCTCCTTTCCATTCACACTGGAAGCCAAGGAGTCATCCTCAACTCACCCCAAGTCATCTATCATATTGAAGATAAACCAATCTTTCAAACGTGGAATTCTTTTCTTGTCAATTCCTTGCTAGAAAAAAGAGGGAGAAAAAGCATGATGCCTCCCTATTACATGCTAAATTAAGCACTACTTTAATTTCCTGTGTTTTAAAACTATTCGATATATTCATTAGACATCATAAATACCTTTAATTTGAACATATTGCATTCATATTATCGCTACTATAAATTATGTTTCTTTTTTTTTTTTTTTTTTTTTTGAGAGGGAGTCTCACTCTGTTAACCAGGCTGGCGTGCAATGGCGCTATCTCAGCTCACTGCAACCTCTGCCTCCCGGGTTCAAGCAATCTTCCTGCCTCAGCCTCCTGAGTAACTATAGGCGCATGCCACCACACCTGGCTAATTTTTGTATTTTTAGTAGAGATGGGGTTTCACCATGTTGGCCAGGATGGTCTCGATCTCATGACCTTCTGATCCACCCGCCTCAGGCTCCCAAAGTGCAGGGATTCCAGGGCACGAGCCACTGCACCCAGCCTAAAATATGCTTCTTATTAGCTAAACTTAATGACTACTAAATGACAGGCACTGTCCTTATGCTTCATATGAATTATCTTAGATAATCTCAGAATAGATGCTATAATATCTATTATATTTTATTCCTAAAATGTGTAAATCAAGATCACAAAATTAGGTAATAGATAAAGAGAATTCATTTCAGCAAAAGTTGTGCTATGTTTGAAGTAACAGCAATAAGCCCTCAACAGCAGCGATTCAGCTGGCTGTATCTTCTGACTCTAAGACTAATGGGATTAATAATTCCCTTCCATCTGTCCTTTAAGCTGGGTATAAATAAGAATTTCAAATGGAATTAGTGTTATTATTATCCAGAGGTATTAGGGGAGTTGCTGGCAGAGGTCGCAGAAATTCTTATTCCTTATTTTCTCTGAGTTATGACAGAGTAAAATGTTCCTTTTTGTAACTAATTTTGTAACTACTTATTTAATGGTTATGTCTAGATTTTCCCCAACATATCTGATTCCAGACTTTCTGCCTATAACTCATAATCACAGCCATCGTTTAGGGGAACTGCACTAGAAGATATTCTCAAAAAAAAAATTGTAAAGCTACATGTAGACATGACGTTTTAAAGAGTAGGACATGAAGATGTTAATGGAAACAGAGTGAAAGGAAACTGGAGTCCTTAGACAGGTATTTTATCCTAAGTTATGGACTTACAATGCAAGACTGGTGTTCCTCGTGAAGGTATACAGCCACTAAATTAGGAGAAAATAGAACCTAAAACATTCTTTCAAATGGCCAGGCAATTGCAATGAACAAGAATAAGGAAGTATCCTCTCCTATTCCTCTCATAAGCACATGCCCTTTAATGCAAAGGAAAAAACCAAAGTTTAATAAACCTTGTGATATTAAAGGTTTGACCAGAACAGCACCCTGTGTTTTAGAAGATGAAAATTTAGTTACTTCTCATGATGTAAAACCCAAATATAAATGGAATTCTTTAACATATGTGCTCAATTAATCTATTTTAGATGGGATCAAATAATTAAAAAGTTATAGACATTTTAATTTTCTCTGATAATACATTAGAATAAATTTATGCACACTGAATTAAGAATGTTGAAGATAGTCCTCATTTTATATTGAAGATTTCATAAAACTTGGTTAATGAATAGAAAGATGTTTCAAAATGCTCATATACTTTTAATTTTGAAAAACAGTTCTGTCACAAAATTTTGATATTAAAGGTCTATTGGTATACTTGGCACAAATAAATTAACTTGGATTGTTAATTAAATGTTAGATAACATACTAAGATGGCTAGGTATTTTACGGTGATTTTGGAAAATTCCAAAAAGAAAACGTTTGCCTTTTTACAGTTGAAGAGATTGTAATGCAAAGCAAAGTCTCCAGGTGCTGAAAACATTCATCATTTTCTCCCTGCAAAATGTCCCCAAAAGGAGATCATCCAAGAAAAATTATATAAACGTGGACAATAGTTTTTGGTTTTACAAAAAAGTAGTGCTAATTAAGAAAGGAAAGATATGGGTTTTCCAGGCTTTGTATCTTAGGTTGCTCTTTATTTTAGCTTCTCCAATCCAAGACTATACTAACGAGCTTTTCTTTCTCCAGGGAGATAAAGAAGCTGAGTTAGGGCTTCCATTTTCCCCACTTTGTGATCGGAAGTCAACTATGGTGGCCCAGTCACAAATAGGTAATACTGATGACTTGTGGTGGTGGAGTATGTGTGTGCTTGTCAGTTTTCAAATGTATAAACCATATTGTTCAAAGGGTAACTTCCATGAAATCTTCACTCCATATTCATGATAAATTCGATTTTTAAATTGATCTATATGGTGCTAAATAAGAATTATTGAAGCATTTTCACAAGATGAATTCGATAAAGCAACATTAGTAAATATAATGGTTATTATGTACCTTTTACAAAATATAAAATTTTCTTCTTCTGCAGGAGACTATTTTATGCTGGTATTTTTGCTGATTATTGTTTTCTGTAATCTAATTTTTTAGCTATAGGTCAATTCAATGAAAATGTTAGTGTACTTGTTCTATCACTAAATTTCCATGGTATGCTTAATGTAGTAGAGCACATTTGATTTGGAAAAAATATTCTCTCATGATGTGAGATTAACCAACAACAGGAAATATGCTCCCAACCACATTTATTCCTATCATCAGTATTTGTGTTGGGGACTTCAAGCCCAGTCCATTATTAAAACGTATTATTGCTGTGCTACATGGCTCAAAAACTTGACATAGTTATTCCTTAAGCCAGCATTTTTGTTAGTGAATTATATGATCAATAAACATAAGGATCACTCCTTACCTCTGTAGTTATGCTCCAGCACCACCCATCACAAAGCTTTGGGGCAGTCAGCTGTCTGAAAGCTGGGTGCTCTGACTTTTTCCCTTCCCATCCAAGTTTCAAAAGCTGTTTTTCCAGAGACCATAACACAGGTGCCTATCCTTGTTGAGTGAATGTGAATGTGGCAGGCTAAGGACCTGATGTGGCAAGCTGAGGAGAATGGAAGTTTCTGAGGTTTGCTGCTGTAATATAAATTGCTGCCATGTTAGTAGAGGTGATGCCTCAGTTGACAGTCTATATATCTCAGGCATTTAAGAACCAGACAGAACTAGAAGTAGTACACTGGGTGGTCAGTTAACATTTATTTAACATGAAGGCATCAATTAAAACTATTGAAGTTTTATTAAATTAAAAATGTGCCTTATTATATACTATAAGTAATCCAGTTCCTTGAAATGTGAATTACTTCTATCCAAGCATCTGATGGACAATCTTGAAACGTGCATACTTTCCAGGACATTATCACTTAAAAAGCCTCCCTCCAGCTATTCTCCTAGATTGAGGTGGTAGTTTATTGCTCTCAGATGTGTTTCTAACAACAAACTCTTGACTTGAGGCACCCACACCAGTCCTGGGATCTGGGATGTTGCTGTGTACACAGACCTTAGAATAGGTGTTGTCTCCTCCTCTGCCTAAACACGGGATGGAAAATTCTCCCAGAGGGCAATGCCCTTTTCTCTGTGTGTCATTTTCTATCTTGATGAGTGCTTTAAATGTAAAAGTCTTCATTCAATCCTGACATCTCAAAGTGGTGGGATTAATGCTGTCTCCCAGAGATGTTACTTTTCTCTTCACTGATTTGACAGAACACACCCACATGCTGTGAACTAACACTTTACATTCAGAGAATAATAAACAGAAATTTGAAATATTAACACAACGGCAGAAAGCTCTAATATAGTAAGCAACAAAAAGTAATTGTCTTCCTGTTACCTGAGAAAAATCTTCAATTATTTAATTTCTTTCGAGCTTAGATATGATTTCTTGTTGGTAAATAATAAAAGTCAAAATGCACATAATGTGCTTTCAAAAAGGAGGATGACCCTGTTGTTGATCGAGAAAACTATAGTCACTCTCATTAGGTCTAAATTCATTGTTAGCAATAGTATATAAGGCTGAATAGTAAATAGAAAAGCCAATGTACTTGAGTTAGCAAGCTTAAATTCTGTACCTTCCTGGGCTTCAAGGATTATTTTATAGAGCAGTTAAACTATCTCTAGATTGTTATTAGATTAAAACAGTATCAAAGGGTAAGTAGAACCAATATTTTAGTTGATACTTGCTATCCCAGGATTGTCAGAAACTCTTTATTATTTCTGATTTCAGAATTCAGGAAATTGTAACACTTAAATTTATCTCTGTCTTTTTCATTTTGGCTTTTGTAGGTTTCATTGATTTCATAGTAGAGCCAACATTTTCTCTTCTGACAGACTTAACAGAGAAAATTGTTATTCCTCTTATAGAGGAAGCCTCAAAAGCCGGAACTTCTTCCTATGTGGCAAGCAGGTATGATATTTTCTTTTTTGCATCACTTTTCATCTTTGTGGTGTTTACCTTAATCTCTGTTTCTCATGTCTAGGCAGGGTATTACAAGAATTGTTTGGTAGTATTGCCGCCTAGTGGCCTTATATTATATTGCATCTGCCTTTGAGGACTGAAGTTTAATACACAAAATACCAAATACTAAGGTGTATATTAAGAAGAATCCAGTGTGGGGAGAGAGAGAACGGAAGTGAGCAACTGCCATGTACTCAGAACTGGAACACAGCATCTGCTCTCCTGGTTTTCTAGTCGGTTTTGTAAAGTTTTTCAGGTTTTCTTCCTTCACCCCATATCCTGATGTTGGTGTTTTTTGTTTTTTTGGTTGTTACTGTTAGCTCAACCACCATTGTGGGGTTACACATTGCTGACGCACTAAGACGATCAAATACAAAAGGCTCCATGAGCGATAGGTCCTATTCCCCAGACTACTCCCTTGCGGCCGTGGACCTGAAGAGCTTCAAGAACAACCTGGTGGACATCATTCAGCAGAACAAACAGAGGTGGAAAGAGTTAGCTGCACAAGGTAGTGTTGTTTATGAAGCTTTTCTGCCATCTCTGTCTTCACTTCTCCTCTAAGAGTTTGAATTATTTTTTTAAATTTCTTCTTCTATGGCATACGTAAGCCCTTGATGGTATTTGGAATTTGGCTACTCTTTGATTATTCATGAGAAAGTTGGCTTATTTATTAGATAAAAAGAGGTTCCGCTTTGTTTGTGCCACATGGGCTGCAGACGTGTGTCAGTGGGTGGTGGCAAACTGGATACTGAAAAACGAAATAATGAAATGGTGACAAAACTCTGTGGTACAATATAGACTCCTGTGCTTTCGTACAGGTGCTTTCCAGCCTGGATTTTACTTAGCAAGTGGTTTTGTGTTGCATTAAGTGTGTTATCACTTCATGACACAGACTTCAGTGTGTTTTTTTCTGTCTTACTAGGTTGCTTTTTCGACTTAGAATTTCACCCATGAATTAGGGAAATCATTAGTAATCAACCACCACAGAAATCAAGTGGGAAGGTAGCTGATATGTTATTTCTGACATATCAGCTGCTTCAAATTAATTAATCCACTAGGAGGTTTGTGAGTCAGTATCCAAATAGTTATTATCTTTCATTCAGGAATTAGCTTTCATATGCCAGATCTGTCCTCTGCCTCTTCTCACACTCATTCCCACAGCTCTGTCTCCCTCATATATTACACTCCCTGCACAGTGGCCTCCTGGAAGTTTCTTAAAATACTCCAGGGTCTTGGCAGTAATTTCAGCCAGAAATTCTTTTTCCTTATGCTTTTTGCAGCTTTAATGTACCAAGGAATAAGCTTGTTTTTCTTAAAATAGATAATATAAGATCAAAATAAATAGAGTGTTAAATCATATTTATAGTCAGGAGGACTCAATATTGAAAAGTTTTCAATTATGCCAAAAGTCAATTGTAAATATAATGTGTTTCCAGTGAAAATTCCAATACATTTTTCATTGATTTTAACAAATTGAACCTAAAATTTATATGGTATTGCAAATAGCTAAAAATAGTCAAGAATCTCCCAAAGGAGAATAAAGTAGGAGTACTTGTCATTTAAAAATCAAAATTTACTATTATACTGTAGTAATAAAGTCAGTGTGGCTGTGATACAGAGACAATAAGATGGACCTCAGGAATATACCAGAGGGCCAGAAACAATGCATTAATTCCTGCAGAACTTGACAGGTGACAGACACACACATTCATATATGCAATCTTTTATATGTTCTCACTGATTTACCATTATTGATGTTCATTTCTTCCTGTTTGTCTGAGCTACTATCTGGGGTCATTTCTCTTCACACTGAAGTACTTTCTTTAGTATTTTATTATAATACAGTAATGCTGACAATTAGATTTTCTTAATCTGGGAATGTCTATATTTTACTTTTAGTTAGGAATAGATTTGCTTGATTTAGAATTTTTTTTTTTTAGCACTTTTAATGTGTCATTCTATTGCCTCTAGCTTCATAGTTTCTGATACAGTGTTGGCCAAAAATAAATTGTATTGTTGCTTCCTTGTATGTACTGAGTCTTATTTTTTTTCTTCCTATTTTACATACTTTTTCTTTATTTTGTCTTTCAGCAATTTGATGATGATATGTCTAGGTCTTTTTTTTCTTCAAAATTCTACTTAGTGTTCATTGCTTCTTAAATTCGTAAATTAATGATTTGCATCAAATTTGGGAAGTTTTCTGTCATTTTGTTCAATGTTTTTCATCTGCCTCTTTCTCTCTGATCTTACTTCTCCTGAGGATTCTATTATGCATAACTTAGGATTCTGGAAATTGTTCCAGATGCTCTGGATCTCTGTCAATTTCTTTAATTCTTTCTTTCTTTCTTTCTTTGTTTCTTCCTTCCTTCCTTCCTTCATTTTTGATTGGCTACTTTCTAATGATTTATCTTCAAGTTTACTGTTTCTTTCTCTGACACCTCAATTCTACTGTAGATTTCACTGAATTAACTTTTCACCTCAGCTACTTTTTTCCGTTTTATTATTTCCATTTGGTTCTTTTTTATAATGTCTGTTTATCTGTTGATATTTTATAGTTTTTAGACATGGTTAGCATATTTTCTTTAATCCTTCAGAATTGTTTTCTTTAATTTTAAAACCATATTTAAAAACTTGTCTTGAAGTCTTTGAAGTCAATTTTAAAACTGACTACAAATAGCCTATCCATGGCTCTCTAATTTCTAGAATAGTTCTGTTAAACCCTGCTGGTCTACCCTTTATCCCAACTTGGACCCCAATCTTAGGCTAGCAAAGCTTGGAGTGTTTCCCCTCTAGTCTAAGCTAGATTCACCACTTTATGTTCAAGTAACCAGAATTACTTGCTGCCTTCTCCCATTCCAAGTTAGTCTACTATCTCCACCAGAAAAGTTGGTTTTTGCTTCCATTCCCAGGTCAGAGTTGGAGAGGAAGATGGAGGGGTGGGAGTAGCTGTGGGGAATAAGATCATAGGCTTCTGCTATTTTTACCTGACTGTCCAAAAATTTTTTAAGAATAAATGTTTCTCAAATTATTATGTACCCTTGATTGATTTCCAGAGTCATTGAATAGTGGTTTTGTTAATGCTGTCCAGTTTTACGGTTTTTTTGTGGAGAGAAAAAACTCAACTTCTTTACATCCCTACAGCAAGAAGTCTTCTTCACCATAGGTTTTTAAGGGAATTAAATGATTTTATTAATATAATTTGCTTAGAAATGTCTAGAATACTAAATGCTATATGAGTTGACTATTATTACTATAACTATTATTTATTATGTTTCTGCCATGTGTTCTAGAAATAAGGGTTATAGGGGTACTATATAGAAATTACTACAGAAATTAAGGGTATCCCTAATGCTGAATTCTAAATCCAGCAAAATTATTCATAAATGAAGTCAAAGACATTCCCAGATTAAGAATATCTAATTACTATAGGAATTGGGGGTAATTTCTATATAGTAAGCTGGTAAGGAAAGGCTTGGCTGAGGAAGAAATAATTTGAATAAATATACAAAGGAGGTTAGAAAGAGAACCATGGAGAGGTTTGGAATGGGGGGGCAACAAATTTGTAAACAGAGGGATCGACCACCACATTATCTAGGAGGCTGAGCTTGCCTGCTGTGCCAGAAACGACAAGAAGGGCAGTGAAGCAGAAAGAAATTGGATAAATGGGAATAATGTAGACAACGTGATGAATGGGTAGTGTGTGCCTGACCTTTGGTTTTGGCCCAAGAAAGAAAGGAAACCAAATGTATGGTTTTGAGAAAAAAAGTTGATTGATCTGAGCTGAGGTTTCAAAAGGATTACTCTGTTACAAGATGGAAAATGTTCTTTTGTTTAAGAGGCAAAAATGGAAACAAGAAGACCAGAAAGAAGGCTGTGGTTCATAACCCAGGAGAAACATGGGAGCTTAAACCAGGTAGCAATGGTTGAGAGAGTGTATAATTTCTGGATACATGAAGACTGTGGCTTAAACGTTTGCATGAGTAGAAGGAGGGTAAGCAAAAAGAGACTGGATTCTGAATATACAGGTATTTTGAAAGCTGGACTGATAGGATTTGTTATTAGATTAGATGTAGGAAACAAAGTCAACAGAAGAATTAAGAATGATGCCAGGTTTTTTTAGTTTTCTTACATATTATTTGTTTATGGGTAAAATTACATAATCATTTCATAAAACAGTTTGGCATTCTGTAGCAAATTTGAAGATGCATATGCCATACTTCTCAACAGTTTTACCTCTATATTTTTACCCTAGAGAAAGTTTTGTGCATATGCATCAAAGACATGTCTAAAATATTCATAGCAGCATGGTTTATGAATGCAAAAAAAGGGGGAAAAACAGTAAAACTGATTCATATACTATAGTATGTTCATATTATGGAACAGCATAAAAGTGTTAAAGAAAATTTAATGATCACTAACAGGAATGAAGAACACAGTGTTGCACAGAATAAGCAAACTGCTGGGCTTTGGTAGGCGGTCTTCCCCTGGTACTGCTAACAGGGAGGTTTGGACTGAGCAGAATTCACCACAGTGCAGAAATAAGTTGTGCCCAGACTGCTTCTCTAGATTCCTCCTCACTGGGCAGGGCATCTCTGCAGGAAATCCAGCAGCTCCAGTTAGGGGCTTACAGACAGAACTCTCAACTCCATGGGACAGAGCACCTGAGGGGAGAGGCAGCTACGGTTGCAGGTTTAGCAGACTTAATCTTTCTTGACCACTGGCTCTGAAGAGAGCAGCTGACGCTGACAAAGGGGATTCTCCCAGTAGAGCGCACCAGCTCTGCTAAGGAACAGACTGCCTCCTCAAGCACGTTCCTGTCCCTGTGCCTCTTGACTGGAAGAGACCTTCCAACATGGGTCAACAGACACCTCATACAGGAGAGCTGAAGCTCCCAGAAGAAGGAGCAAACTGCAATCTTCGATGTTCTGCAACCTCCACTGGTGATACCCAGGCGAACAGGTCTGGCGTTCACCCCCAGCTAACTGCAGCAAACCTGCAGAAGAGGTGTCAGACTGTTGGAAGACAAACTAACAGAAAGAAAGCAACAACAGCAAAAACATCAACAAAAAAGACTCCCACAAAACCCCATCCAAAGGTCATCAGCCTCAAAGATCAAAGGTAGATAAATCCAGGAAAATGAACAAAAACAGTGCAAAAATGCTGAAATTCCCAAAGCCAGAATGCCTCTTCTCTTCCAAATAAGGATAACATCTTCCCAGCAAAGACACAGAACTGGACAGAGAATGAGATGGTCAAATTGACAGAAGTAGGCCTCAGAAGATGGGTAATAACAAACTCCACTGAGCTAAAGGAGCGTGTTCTAACCCAGTGTAAAGGAACCAAGAACCTTGATAAAATGTCACAGGAGCAGCTAACTAGAATAACCACTTTAGAGAGGACTTTAAAGACCTGATGGACATGAAAAAAACACAGCACAAGAACTTTGTGAAGCATACACAAGTATCAGTAGCTGAATCAAGCAAGCAAAAGAAAGGATATCAGAGTTTG